GTACCCTGGTAACTCTCACAGAACTCTGCACACGAAGTCAAAGGTCCGCACACGAAAGCTTTTCCATGGGAGCGTATCCGATCTAAGGCTCAGGCCCTCCCCTCGAGACACAAATGCCACGGCACATCGCTTCTGCTGACGCGGATGACCTGGCAGGTCTTCACACCTCCAATAAGACGATCCTAAACCTACCAAAAAGACTATCCTAAAACCCTAAATCTACAAAACGACGAGCCTAAACCAACCTTCTACATAGATTTGGGGTTGAGGTGGGGATTAGGAGCCAACTGTCGGGCTTGGAGTTTGGTGTATACTTGTTTATAGGGTTCAGTTAAAGGAAACTACAGGTGGGGAGTTTAGGGTATGTAGGGCTCCTATAAGGCTTCTGTAAGGTATATAGACCTTCTATTATAAGGCTCCTATAACGGCACCTACCCATCTGAAAATGCCCTAGATTCAGCGGTTTAGCACACCCCGAATCCCGAAGGTCCCAGCTCTTCGAATGTTCACTCCTTGAAGCCTCAAGGATGAGAGCTTCATGCCTATAGGATGTAAGAGGTTTTTGGGGGTGTAGGGATTTAGGGCTGAATGGGATTTGATTTTAATTCAGGGTTAAGGGATTTAGGGGTTTAGGGGTCTTCTCACCTTTGGGGTTGTAGGGATTTAGGGCTTAGGATATAGTTAAAGAAAGGGATTGAAAGCTTGGGCGGTATGCTGCATGAGAAAAGCTGACTTGCCGAGATGATGAACCTGCCTTAATATCTGGTCCACCTTGGACCCAGAGAACCTGATCTACCCCCGAGTTATTTAATGTACTCTTTGGTGTGAATGGTTATAGGAACCCCTTTTAGGCCTAAGTAGTCACTGTCCTAATGTAGGTAATAACCGCGAAATCTTGGTTGAATCATCATAGGAAACCCGATCCACCCTCAAATGCAATTTTCTGAATTCTGAACCTCGTAAGAAGCACAGACAACTAATAGGGTACTATAGGTCGTCTGAAGAAGGATGTATGTTCACACTATAGCCTACCCCTCAAAAATGCCCGTCTGCTACCGCCTACTCCACACGAAAAACAACAGGGTTTCGCGGGTTCTTCTGGCCGCTGACTGGGCGCCTTGGACCTGCTTGAAGAAGGGTCAGATGCATTGCCAGCATTAGATCATGCAACATATCAGCCACTCAACTATTTACTGTATCTGTACATATATGTCGAAATATACGTGTTCATGAGTGGCTGGGCTTCCAAGGCGGATCATACTGCTTGCCAGCTACTAGTCAAGCAAAGGCTTCAGGTTCCGAAACCCTGGAAAAAATCGGAGCCACCAACCTACCCGAAAACATGGTCCACGATCTTTTGCTTAGGATCTAATCCCGCCTCTGTCAGGCAAGCATGCCATCTCTGTGTTGGCAGAACCTTCAGCAGAGCCACGGTGGCCGCGGTGTGGGTCAGGGAGGGCGAGCTACTTGCGCGTTCTAGGGCTGCGCAATTGATGAGCTGGGATTGGAAATTCAAAAGCAGGAAGCCTGGGACTTCCAACGCTCAAAGTTCAACAACTTGCCGGGAGTGAGTGATATAAAGTGGCCTGGAGCGGCCGAAAGCTGCAAGCGTATCTAAAGCTACTGCGTTCTGAAGGAAACCTTAACAGAAACACCCTTCTCAAAGAGTACCAGACTCGATAACACCCTACTAAATCGTATCACACCTCAAAAGCAACCGCTTATAGATACTAAGCCTTCATGGTGGCCTTGTAGGACCCTTACAATCCCCCTAACGAAGTCAGTATAAGTAACCGGATCCTGACTTGGAGGATCATGGGACTTAGTCAGTATATGGTTATTTGTACCTTCATTGCGGGGGCATATAATATAAAATATTATAAGTATACCTCCCGTACTTCTATAACACTACTTGCAAAGTTGAATTGGCTTTAAGTAGGTGGACTCAGCCTGGTGGTTCGTGAAGAGGTGGAGCTTCTGCCGCGCGTCGCAGGACGAGACTTCTACCTGCACAGCTTTTCGGGGCGCAGAAAACACAGGGTTTAGGGTTTAGGGCTGCTTCGTTTTTGGGGGGCCGGGGGGACCCACCTAGACCCTGAAGAACCTACGTTTTGAAGGGCTTACATTAAAAAAAAAAAAAAAAGGAACCCCCGAACTCGAGACCCCCAAACTCTCAATAGAACCAACCTCCTAGCAGGATCCCAAACCCTCCCTGGACCCTGAATAACCTACCTTTGACAGACTCATATCAGGAAATCACAATAAGGCGCCACCAAAAAGGTAGGTCCAGGTTCACCCTAAACGGCCATAAAGCCAAAAACCTAAACCCCAATCCCTAAACCCCCCAAACCCTAAACTGACTCAAAAGTGCCTGAAAGCCAGGTCCACAGACGCCGTGGTGGCACCTTCACACCGGTCACCGGTTTCAGCTCTATCGGCCGAGGGGGTTTAGGATTTCGGTTCTAGGGTTTGGGGATTAGGGTTTGGGGTTTAGGGTTTAGGGTGTAGGGTTTGGGGTTTAGGGGTTTAGAATTTGAAGTTTAGGCTTTAGGATTTGGAGCCTCGGGCTTATAGAGTTTATGGCTTAGGGTTCAGGATCTGGGGGGGTTTTAGAACTCCTAGACAGGTTCCCTTTGCAGCGGGATCTAGAAAGGTTCCTTTAAAGGCGTCTGAAAAGATTCGTACACAGGGATCTATCAGGCTTGTATAAGGGATCTCTGAGGGTTCAGGGCTGGGGGAACTTCGGGGTTCGCTTCCCAGCTCTTGGTACTTCGGAGAGCTCCACGCATCCATTGAATTGAAGGGTTCTGGGCTGTACAGGCTTTAGGGTTCTAGGTTTAGGGTTTAGGGTTAGATAAAGGGTTTAGGGTTCCAGGGTGTTACTCCTTGCTTAAGGGGTAATGAGCTCTCTGGAGAAAAAGGGAAAAGGTTTAGGGTTGTGTGGGTCTCTGGGTGGGTCTTGGTTCAGGGTTTATTCTTGGGGTTAGGGTTGCATAGAGAGTTAAGATTTTCCAAGGAGTTAAGTGCTCGTAGGACGGTCCTGAAGCCAATGAATCACACGACCGAAGGGAAATTAAGCGGACCAGGCTAGGGGGTTAAGGATTCCAGCACGGAAAGATATGCAGTAAAAACACATCTACTTTCATCTAACACAACACTGACCGTTTGAGATATCAGGGCCAGCACAGCGTTCTGCAACCCACACAGCATCGGCACTAGAGATGCATGAGGGTCCGTCGGGCGTGGGATACGCCACTAGAGGCTCTCTACGGATCCCATACGACCTCTAAGACCTCCAAGACTAGACGTACTCGATGTACCTATCTAGTAACATAGTCAGCAATGCAATGTAACCTGATTCCCGCAATGATATTTTAAAGCCAAGTATATAGGATATAGGCACATGGAGCCTTAAGGCTATGCAGCAAACACAGCTTGTTGGGTTTGTGCCTCGACACCGTGTCCACGCGGCATTCGTTCACAGCCACGGCGCGACTTTGCTTCCTTTCGAGCTTCGGATTTCGACGTCAGGTTTGGAGCACAGAAAAAAAGGTTTAGGGCTTAGGGTGGGGTTTCGGCGTCAGGTTTGGACGGTTCCGGGTTTTGATTGCGAAGACCAAAGATTTTTCTTGAGAGCGAACGTACACGTCTCCATGACCTTTGCTTCGTCTTGTAAGCTAAACCCGAAACTCTGAACCCTACTCCCAGATACTCCACGGAACCGGCTGCTAGCCTGCTGTGGTCGGTGTTGGATCTCACGACTTGTCAGGCTCTGCAGGCTGCTCCCTGTAAGGGTTTAGAGTTTGGGCAGTAGGGATAAGCAATCCAAGCAAAAGGTTGCTGCAACAGCCGTTGCAAAGCCAGTCTGGTTCTCAGCATCCCCCTTTTGGACCCCACAATGTAGAGGCCTGACTGATTAGAATAGGGTTTTGGGGTATATTGTGCTATAACGTATATAAAGGACCCCCCCCCCCCCAAACATAGACATCAAGCTTAAGCCGCAACTTTACGGGAAAGTTTGTGTCCCAAGTCCGGAGACTGGCGTTAAATTGCCAACCGCTGCCCATGATGACTTTCTCATGCTCGTCTCGGGCGATAGCCTCTTCTGAGCAGAATTGCAGCGTGTTTTTGGCAGGCACCATGGACGTCAAAGACTGCACTGCACTATAGGGGCCTCAATAGCTAAGCATTCTAATCGGCTGTTCAGTGCAAGCATTTTCAGTCAAGGCCAACGAGAGCCACTGCAAGTGCAATCCTGTAAGGACGACTTTCAGGTGCCACACATTCAGATGTCATCAGAGAAATGTCCAGAAGCGGTTGATCATCTCAAGCTGGTCCTCAGTAAGGAAGCCCCCGAAGTACTTCTCAAGTGTCCTGTTGAACAGTGTTTGCCGGAAGGCTTGGAGAAATTTGCCGTCATTCTCGACCCAGCGGTAGGCCATGACGATGGTCATGATTTGTACTGAAATCACTAAGGTGCAAGTCGCTTCCATCTGGAAAATACCGATGAAGGCCTTCAGCCCAGATCCGCTTATTGTTTCCTTGGGCGCATGTCCATCTTTATCTTTCATTAGACCCGTCAACATTGTAGCAAGGAAGTCGAGGCCCTGGACAACGGCGTTTTCTGGGGGTGGCTCGCCCTTCTCAAACTCGGCCCCCCAGTCCTGCACATCTTCGAGGTCCTTGGCCCACCTTCCGATCTGTCTGGTAAAATAATCTTCAACACCCCAGATTCCCACAAGATAATGTTGGAACCACTCGGTGCCCTCCTTCAGCTGGAAGTACCATTCTTGGATGTTGTTTAATCATGGAATGCTGAACCCTCAACCCTCTCCGCAGCCAGCCCCAACGACTACACCCAACGCCGATGTGAGAACAGAAAAAAACAAACCACTGCTTCAAGCAGATTTCAACATCAGGCAACTGCCCATGTACAGCGACATGGAACAGCATCTCCCTTATCTGCGAGCCCCAGGCAGCCGAACTGCTAGCCTTATCGGCAGGCTCAAACCACTAAGCCAAGCCAGCCGAGCTGCTGAAAAACATGTAACCCAAGAACACGGCCAGTTTGTTGACTGTGATGATGATGATCAGCATGCATAGGGTGTCCACTCCCTCTGCCCAACACTTGGCAGCGTTCTCCTTGGCCCATGTCCAGCAGGTTAGGGAAATCACAGTGAGGAATCCGTAGAAGACCCACCAGAACAGCATAAAAAAGACCTTTCCGAAATAGCACATGAGGAATACCATGAACACCATTCCCGCCAGAGTCCATGAAGGCACCACTGCGCGGACAAAGAACCCCCGACATCCACCATCGTCGAAGAAGCTCACCAGTGAGGACCGCAAAGACCACCTAGCCAAGCAGAACGGGGCGAAGTAGGGTAAAAGGACCAGGAAATAGATGTGCTTGTGCCACGGCAGCTAATCGACCTGCCCTGGATAAAGGGGATAGCCGAAGACGTGACATGAGTACAATGGCCTGGCATAAAACAGCTTCATGGGATTGAACATCACGACGGACAAGCCCACCGAAATGGAGGCCGGGAGGTTTCCAGAACAGGACCAAGTCAACGCAATGACAAGGAACATCTCACCTCTATTCGTCAGCTGCGGAGCCACATCAATGATCTTCACAATGTCCTTGTACCAGGTGATGATGGCCAGGGCAGTAAAAGCCATGGTGGCCATGATGCCAGCGACGCGCTTGAGTTTGTCTGTTATGCCATCCCCTGCAACTTCTGTATTGATGCCAACACCCAGGACTGCAATGGTTGCCGCAATCTTCACTGCGAAGCTGAATGACATGAGCCAGAAGGGCATGAGGGAATCTTCGTTGATCAGGTCTTTCACTGAGACTTTTACTTTTGTGCTCTCGTGCTTGCCATGTTGCACGATGTCCTGGTCCCGAGGCGGCTCAATCGTTGGAACAGCGGCAAACTCACTCTGAGGCCGGACGGCTGTACAGAAGGGGAGGTGGAAGGCCAAGACAAGCCACCGCCAAGGTTGTTTACACATAATTCTGGCTACGGGAACCCAAGATGGATTGGATTGAGCAAAACACTCCCGGCACCGGCATGGAGACTAGGAGGCAATGTGCACAGATTGAGGTTTCGCTTTCAGGGTCGAAGTCTACAAACCCTACTGTAAGCCTTATATAAAATAAACTTTATGTACGATGAACCCTATGAACCCTAAATCCTGACACTGAGCCTCCAAAACCCCTAAACATCTCCGGCCCCTCATCCCTTTTCCCAAAACCGCTCCCCAACCCCCACCTACCCCACCCTATGATTTACACACCATCTGCACCACTCATTAACTTGAAAATCTGCACCTTCTGGAAAGGCCCGTTGTGGTCACTTTTCGAAGGGTTTTCGGCCTTGAACATGAACCCCACCAAAAAAAAACACTAAACCCAACACACAACGTCAAATGCGGGATTCTAGCTGCTTTTGCGGATGACGACAGACAGAACAACTTCCTGAAACATACCAACAGTACAGCAAAACACACCACCAAATCCAGCCAGCAGCAAGTCAAAGCACGTAAGGACCCGAAATGCGACAGCATTTGTAGGGGTTTCAGTTCAAACAGGCGGCATTAGACGTGCTGCTAGTATCGCAAAACTCAGGACCAAATCCAGCAAGTACTCTCTGAACTATGAAAACAGAAAGGTCTGACAAGAGTCTGACTCGAGCATGCACTTCAAAAACAATAGAAAATGAGGCTTTTCTGTTCTATTTGAAGCAGGCTTTTCTCGAAAGACACCTTGGGCCCTCTTGCCCAAAGTTACACTCGAACCACCACCTCATCTTGGATGAGGGTTTTTGCTCTCATGTAATGTCTGCATCGGGTTGGCCCTTTCCTGACAGTCCTGGTGAGGTCTTTGCAATTGAGTCCGTCAAATCAGCTCAAAACTGAACTATTCTAGAAAAAAATGCGGGAAGAGGCTCAGCCACCGCCGCCCGAAGTCCGCTAAGTTCATCCAACTGATATTTGGTTTTGGCCATGCTGAGTCTGGGGTTAGCGTGAGAAGGTTTGGTTTGGTCTTAGAGAGAATTTACAAACTTAGAGTTCAAGGTTTAAGGTGTAAGGAGATGGGAAGTCAATTTTCGGCACGCCGCGCTGGGAGGTTGCATCTGGAGTGGCCGCGTGGCGCAAAGATTAGCTACGTCAACTGAAGTCAACGATTTCATGTAGGCCCTGCCTTCGAGTGGCTGCGGTAAAAAACCGTGTACATGGCTTGCAAGAGGTCAGACCAGACCACTGCGGTTGAAAGTCGAAAAAAAAATACCTTCCGAGACGAGATCGAAGATTTGCCGCCACTTCAAGACGGATGGAGCCGATATCGTCCTGGCTTCCACAATTTCCTTTGCTCCAGAGACGACGAGTCTGCAGATTCGCCCCAAACTCTGGTTAGAGCCCCTGCCAAACTCCAAGATCTTTAGGCTGTTGGGTAGTTCCTCAAGGACGAAATGAGCCCTAAAAGGTTTTAGGGTTCATATACCATGTAGGGTTTCATGGTATAAGGGTATAGGGCCCCTACTTTTTAAGGGTCATTTCGTCCTTAAGGTTGGATGCCCTGATGACAAGCCCGGCAGTTTTGAAGTTCGCCTTAGGGTTTATACGTACTTATGGCCCTACATAACCCTATGCTGTTTGTTCGGTGGTTCGGAGCTACATGGAGTTGGAGTTGGAACTTTACTGGTGATTTGCGTGCAGGGCTTTAGGCTTCAGGGCCTTGAGTAGAAAGCTGCCCTCGCCTCAGGACAGACTACTTAAAAGAAATGAGGCTCCTGCCATGGGCCCAAAGGTTTTAGAACAGAGTGATGTTGGGGCTTGGGACATCAAGAGAAAACGACTGGGAGACTCCCAACAAAAATAAACCCAACTCAATTCGAGAACGTCCTCAACTGGGGACGTGCACCTCAGCTTCTTCGCGTTGGTGGCTTCCTCCGCCTCGACCTTGCTGAGAACCTGTGCTCAGGCATATCAGCCGATGCCGCGAAGATGAGGCTAAGTGGTCATTGGCTAGGTTGAAGGCTTTGGGGCATCTAGAAATTCAGAGGTCTTTCGAGTTTTCAGATACAGAACCTTGCGCTCAAAAGGTGTAGACCTTTCAGGAGGTCACTCGCCTGCGTGTTCCCTACCACCGGGACAAGGTGCTGAGGCTCAACATACATGAACGAAAATATCTAAAAGCCCCTCGAAAACAAGACCTTCGGAACCAAAAAGCCGCAATAGGGCTTTGGGGAAAGGACTTTGGGGGTCTATCGTGTGTAGTGGGGTTATCATAAGGAACCCTACGGACTCGTATTGGTAGTGGCAAGTATTCAAGGCCCAATATGTTCATATACGAGTCATCACAGAGGCCCCAATTGCCCATGCACCCAAAGTAGTAGATACTTTGGCCCCCAAAGTACCTATATAGGGACTGCTTTAAGGCCAACATATAGACTATTTGCGTACATGGACCCTGTTTTAAGGGCATGAGAGACTCACGAGACATCTCCGAAACCGCTTCGCTTCCAGCGTACGCAGCGTTCCCTCAGAAAGGCGGCTCTGAATAAAGCTGGCCAGGGCTTCAGAGCTCTGTACCCAGAGGCTCCAAAACCACCCAATTAAGGAATATACCTTAAATCTTATTAAAATTAGGGTTCTTATAAAAATTTAAGGTATATTCCTTAATTAAGGGGTTTTGGAGTCTCTGGGTAGGGTTGAGGGGGTTTGCGGGTATGGGGTTTAATTCTTGGGCTTCGGGTTGTCGATTTCGGGCTTGAGTTTAGGGCTTGCAGGATCCCAGCCTTACCCATAGGCTCCTAAGTAGTTCCTTTTTGTGGTTCATGTTTAGAATCCTATAAGGTAATCCCAAAAAGGAACTACTAAGGAGCCTATGGGTAGTGAGGGTGCTCAAACCGTGGGGACTTCTGCGGGGCCCTGATACTTAGAACTGGGTCTTGGGTGTATGCAGCGGCTGTGTAGGGATCATTATAAGGGCGAGAATATCACGAATTATTCGGACCTCTATGTTATCAAAAAATTTAGTCTTGATCTTGCACCCTACACACCAGACTGTGGTCTATACTCCCAACACCCCAAACCTAAACCCTACTACTCCACCGCAGTCTCCAAGTGGTGCTCTACGGATGAGGGCTTCAGGATCAACTACTTTAAGGATCATGGGACTTAGTGACTAGGGTTCCGCCAAGGGCACCTTACAGGGCTGCTATAAGGGGTTTATGAGGGTCTTACGGGTACTGAAAGGATTATGGGACTTAGTAACTCTTGGGTTAGAGATAAGGTAACTATACTCACAAGTACATATGAACCCGATCCAGGTAAATAGAACCCTCCCTAAACCCTATAAACCCTAAACCCTTACGTACTAAGTCCCATGATCCTCCAAGCAGGGCACTCCTTGGATTCCTGCTCGTAAGGTTTAAGCCTAAACCGCCTAAACCCTAAACCTTTAAGCTACCCATGGGCTCCATAGTAGTTCGTGTTTGGGATCACATTATAGGATCCTAAATATAAGCCACGAAAAGGAACTACTTTGGATCCCATGGGTAAGCCTAAACCCTAAACCCTAAACCTTTAAGCTATTCAAGGCTTGGAATGCAAGTTCGGGTGGACCGGCCCACCAAAGCCATAAAGCTCACAAAAACCCTGACGCCTGATGTGTAGGGGCCTTGGCAATTTAACGTAGAGTATTGGGGTACATAGTACAACGAACTGTGTACAATGATGAAAACGGAGCCCTATAAGAAATAGCATGGCTAATGAATCAGGCTTCTATACTCCTAAACCCTATAAACCCTAAACCCTAAACTTTACTAAACCGTACTCAACTCAAAATTAAAGCAACTCGATTCCCAGGGCCCGCGCCCCATCGGCCACGAGCATCTTGCACGCGGCCTGTCCACGAGGATTCGACTATGGCTTGAGGGTTTGCCCTTTTTGTAGATGCCTCTGTTCTGGTGCCCTTTTGGGGATATATCAAAAATGATCGTGTTGAATCCTTAATTGGGGTTTATCATAACAAAAAATGTAAATGATCATTTTTAATCCTTATTGCGGTTTAATATAACAAAAATGTATACAAGCATCCAACGAGGACCCAGTGTTGATCAGGCCTGGGGCTGGCATTGTGCAGGGGGGGGGCGCAGGCCTTCAAAGGCTGGGAGCTTCGTTTTTTTTTTCATCAGGGGCCGGTATCAAGGTTAATGACCAATAATGCTAGGATTCATATGCTTCCC